CAGGTCAGTGGCCACTCAGATCAATTTAAAGCAGTTTCTCTTCCACAGGTCAGTGGCCACTCAGATCAATTTAAAGCAGTTTCTCTTCCACAGGTCAGTGGCCACTCAGATCAATCTAAAACAGTTCCTCTTCTACAGGTCAATGGCCACTCAGATCAATTTAAAAACAGTTTCTCTTCCACAGGTCAGTGGCCACTCAGATCAATTTAAAACACTCAATTTTGAACAAATCAGTGGCCACTTCAGATCAGCTTAAAATACTTCACTTTCTACAAGTCAGTGGCCTCTCAGATCGATTTAATAACAATTCCTCTTCCACAAGTCAGTGGCCATACAGACCAGTTTAACAACAATTCCACAACGTACTCTTCCCCTAGATACTGCCAACTAATTACATTGATTTTTCTTAGATAAAAGCACAGCCAATTCTTGGTTTGACAAAATGGCCTTGACAAGCTTTCAATAAAAACATTATTTTAAGCTTATTCTTCTTTATAGGTGCTGAGCTTTCTTTTTGCGAGCATTAAGCATATCATAGAAAGGATTATGACTGATGCTTTGCCTGTAGAGAGACAAAAAAAAAAGAGTAAAAAACATATCACAGAGACTTCATTAATTAGTACATGAAAAAGTTTAAGTAGTAATAAGTTCTCCGACATCAATTTCAAACACAGAGAAATCTTTCAGTTTCTCTCCTTATTATCTAGTTTCTTATCTTTATTTTAAATAGCTTCCAGCTTTTTTTATATATATTTTTTTAAATATTTTTAAACATATAAACTAACTTTCAAACTTTCACAATCTAATGCTTAGAGCTGGACAATAACTTGATTAATCTCATATACAATAATAAAATAATCCAAGTTATGATTTAATCGATTAACTGCATAAAAATAACAGATGAACTGAAATTAGTTTTTCTGATTATTACTGTTTTCAAGTATTCCATCTATCCAAGTAACAGAAGTGTTGCCAATATAGTTTCTCTTTGTCATTTTTGATTAATTCTAGGCTCTTCAGCTTAGTCGATTAGCGTCACAACTCACAAAAATAAGGGTCCCTCAAAATTAGTGTTTACATTATTACTGTTTTTGATTTTTCCAACTATTCAAGTCTAATGCCAGAATAACTGATTAGCTGAATGTAATACATTACAAAGCCTAACGATTAATTGATTAGCAACTTTCACAAATCACCCAGCTCTATTAGTTTCTCCAGCTTAGGGTAATGTCTCACAATCTACCTCAAGTTCAAACAATCTTATCATCCCATTTCTCCAGCTCAGGGTAATGTCTCACAATCTTATCATCCCATTTCTCCAGCTTAGGGTAATGTCTCACAATCTACCTCAAGTTCAAACAACCTTACCATCCCAGTTCTCCAACTTAAGAAATGTCTCACAATCTACCTGAAGTTCAAACAACCTTATAATCCCACTTCTCCAGTTTATGGTAAAGTATCACAATGTATCTCAAGTTCAAACAACTTTACAATCTCATTTCTCCAGTTTATGGTAATGTCTCACAGTCTACCTCAAGTTGAAACAACTTTATAATCTCATTTCTCCAGTTTATGGTAATGTCTCACAGTCTACCTCAAGTTGAAACAATCTTACAATCTCATTTCTCCAGTTTATGGTAATGTATCGCAGTCTACCTCAAGTTCAAACAACCTTATAATACCACTTCTCCAGTTTATGGTAATGTATCGCAGTCTACCTCAAGTTGAAACAACTTTATAATCCCATTTCTCCAGTTTATGGTAATGTATCGCAGTCTACCTCAAGTTGAAACAACTTTATAATCTCATTTCTCCAGTTTATGGTAATGTATCACAGTCTACCTCAAGTTGAAACAACTTTATAATCTCATTTCTCCAGTTTATGGTAATGTATCGCAGTCTACCTCAAGTTGAAACAATCTTATAATCCCACTTCTCCAGTTTATGGTAATGTATCGCAGTCTACCTCAAGTTCAAACAACCTTATAATACCACTTCTCCAGTTTATGGTAATGTATCGCAGTCTACCTCAAGTTCAAACAACTTTATAATCTCATTTCTCCAGTTTATGGTAATGTCTCACAGTCTACCTCAAGTTGAAACAACTTTATAATCTCATTTCTCCAGTTTATGGTAATGTATCACAGTCTACCTCAAGTTGAAACAACTTTATAATCCCACTTCTCCAGTTTAGGGTAATGTATCGCAGGCCCTATTTTAAAAGTTTCATATTTTAATTCCCACTCTTTAATTGAATACCTTACATACAATATTCATCTGACAACCTGAATTACAGTCTGTAAGTCTCATCTCAGAGATCAAATCTAATTAAGTATTTCACAAAATAATTTCTTATTACAAGTAAAGTTTCTCAAAGCTGAGGTTTCTTATATTTAATCCACACTAAGTACACAGAGAAATTTCAAGGAAGCATACTTTAAGAGTTTTATTTGATGAAAAATGTGAAATAAAGCAGGTTTAATAATGAATCTGTACAGTTTTCTTTAATACATGGTATAGGGCTCAACCAAACCTTCTGAAACCATCTTCAACTGGTAAAGGTATAAACACCCTACTTACTATTAAAAGTGATTAACCTGTGTAGTTTTTGTAGTACAAAAGTCTATAAACTGATCACTTGGTCTGAAGGCGTAAGTATAATCCGATCTCTAAGTTTATCTTCAGAGTTGTGTCCAGGTTCAAGCTATGTTAGTTTATAGAGGTAGGTATAGCTTATTCTCTCCTAGTCTTTTCTGGAAGGCATGTACAGGTTCAAACTATGTTAGTTTATAGAGGTAGGTATAGCTTATTCTCTCCTAGTCTTCTCTGGACGGTATGTACAGGTTCAAGCTATGTTAGTTTATAGAGGTAGGTATAGCTTATTCTCTCCTACTCTTTTCTGGATGGTATGTACAGGTTCAAGCTATGTTAGTTTATAGAGGTAGGTATAGCTTATTCTCTCCTAGTCTTTTCTGGATGGTATGTACAGGTTCAAGCTATGTTTGTTTAATAATGTAGGTATAACTTATTCTCTCCTAGTCTTTTCTGGATGGTATGTACAGGTTCAAGCTATGTTTGTTTATAGAGGTAGGTATAGCTTATTCTCTCCTAGTCTTTTCTGGACAGTATGTACAGGTTCAAGCTATGTTTGTTTATAGAGGTAGGTATAACTTATTCTCTCCTAGTCTTCTCTGGAGGGTATGTACAGGTTCAAACTATGTTAGTTTATAGAGGTAGGTATAGCTTATTCTCTCCTAGTCTTTTCTGGAGGGTATGTATAGGTACAAACTATGTTAGTTTATAGAGGTAGGTATAGCTTATTCTCTCCTACTCTTTTCTGGAAGGTATGTTAAGGTTCAAGCTATGTTAGTTTATAGAGGTAGGTATAGCTTATTCTCTCCTAGTCTTTTCTGGACGGTATGTACAGGTTCAAGCTATGTTAGTTTATAGAGGTAGGTATAACTTATTCTTTCCTA